ATAGATGGCTTGAGAAATTGGTGAATCGTGAAGAAAACACGTTTTCTCACTGCAAATTCGCAACTGTCAACTCATTGTTCTTCGCCATATTCTTTGTTTACCCGTTGCCACAAATGTCATTGTGAATGCGCAGTCTTGTATTCTATCGTTCTTGAGTTGGTGTAGTGTGCGCACCTCCATACATCTTCATGTATATATTTCAAGCGAGCCCTACTATTTAAATAGGCGGCCGATAAATTCTGTGGTATGAGGTGGCTCCTATAGCTGCATTATTACATCTATTCCGTGTGTTGCAATATCCACGGAAGCAGCAGTTATGAAGAAAATGATTTAAAAATATTAGACAAATTCTCTACTTATATGTTTGGCTTTCCTTTGTTTTATTTTTCCAACGTCAAACACTTTTTTTGAAAAAGTTGGTACGACAAAAAATACGAAACACGTTTTCTGTCAGATAGCTAACATGGCGGATAAGAAGAAGTGAAACTACCCGAAAAAAATATCCTATATGCTAATCTAGGCAAAAAGCTACCTAGGTACCAAATTTTAAGCAAATCGGACCATAAATACGATTTTTTCGAATAGATCAGTCCCTGGTCCACTTCCCGGAAAAAAGGATCCTATATGCTAACATAGGCAAAAAGCTACCTACATCCAAAATTTTAAGCAGATAGATCGGTCCCTTGTCCACCGGAGGGGTTTCCCAAAATTTTCTTTCTTAAAAACCTTCTCCTGGCAATGACGAACAACTGAAAAAAATAGCTAGCCAAATCGGCCCAAACGTTCTCAATTGATGGATTACTATACATTTTTCACACCATTTTTAACCGACTTCCAAAAAAGGAGGAGGTTATCAGTTCGTCGGAATAGTTTTTTTTTTATGTATGTTACCGCATAACTTTGGACCACGTCAACCGATTTCGATAAATCTTTTTGCAACGGAAAGGTAGTGTTTGATAGGTGGTTCCATGCTAATTTAGATCCGATCATTGAATCATGAAATATGTAGATATATATATATTTTTTTTAAGTCGGTTAAGTTAAGTTTTTGCTAAAAATTACTTGTTATATATATAAATACCCTACTATAAGCACCTACCATAGATACGTTTGCGTACCAAATTTCAATTTCATTTGACTTATGGTTTGGAAATTATGGCTGATAAAATTTTCCACGCCTATGGGATGTGCCACGCCCCCTTTTACAAACCCATTTATATATAAGCACCTACCATTGATATATCTGCATACTAAATTTCAAGTTCGTGGGCCTTATAGTTCGGAAGTTATAGCTGATAAAAAATTCCATGCCTATTGGATGTGCCATGCATTCTTTTCCAAACTCATTTATATATACCCTTATATAAGTACCTACCATTAAAATGGCTGTGTACGAAATTTCAAGTTCAAGCAACTTATAGCTCCGGAGTTATAGCTGATAAAACATTCAAGGTCCATGGGATGTGCCGCTCCCCCTTTTACAAACTCACTTATATATAGCCTACTATAAGCACCTACTATAGATACGTCTGCGTACTAAATTTCAATTTCACGTGACATATGATTCCGAATTTTCCACGCCTATGGGATGTTCCACTCAGTTACATATATATGCCTTACTTAAAGCGCCTACCGTAGACATGCCTGCACACCAAATTTCAAGTTCATGTGACTGATGGTTGTGAAATTATAGCTGATAAAAATTTCCACGCCTATGGGATGTGCCAACCCCCTTTTACAAACCCCTTTATATATACTTTACTGTAAGCACCTACCATAGTTATGTCTGCATACCAAATTTCAAGTTCATGTGCCTTATAGTTCCGGAGTTATAGCTGATAAAATATTCCTATGGGATGTGCCACGCCCACTTTTACAACCTAATTCATATATACCCTACTATAAGCACCTACCATATGTATGACTGAATAACAAATTTCAAGTAAATATGACTTATAGTTTCGGATTTATGGCTGATAAAATATTCCACGACTATTGGATGTGCCACGCCCACTTCTACAAACTCATTTATTTATACCATACTATAAGCACATACCATATATATGACTGTATACCAAATTTCAAGTTCATGTGACTTATGGTTCCGAAGATATGGCTGATTAAAAATTTCACGCCTATGGGAAGTGCCACGCCCCCTTGTCAAATCCAATTTTGTTTACCCTATTATAGGCCCAGGTGTCATGGCAATGCTCTGTCAAAATTTTCTCCGATTCTGTCCGTCCGTTTAGGCTGCAACCTGGCACATACATACATACATACTTCCACAAATATATAGTAGATATATCCTGCTCTTAGCGTAAAATAATTTTTGGCGATGTCTCGGCCACAGGGCCACCTATCGTGTAAGTTTCGAGTCCAAATATTTCTTTTAAATTGGCTAAATTGTTTTCTAAATATGAGCCAAATCAGCAAGTAAATGCAATTTTTCTGAATATCCCGACCCCAGCGCTACCCAGCGATTAAATTTTTAGTCGAAATATTTCCCTTCAAGGTGCTGAAATATGTTCCAAATATGAGCGAAATCGGTCTAGCCGTTTAGTAGTTTAGTGACATTCAATATACGGAAAACTCTATGAAATTGTGAAATCGGGACGTCTCAGCTTTCTTCATTTTTCGGCAACAACAACAAAAAATTTCAAATTTTTTTAAATCAGAAAACCTTCCACACGGAAGGTCCAAAAATGTGCTTTTACAGAATTGAAATCGGTTCAGCCATTTGGTCAGGCATCGCGGTCATACGAAAAACATTTCATTTTTATATATCTAGATACTAGAGTGGTTTATAAAAACACTCTTTTTGGAAATTCATAAAGGCTACATCAGAATATAGATATTTGTGATAAAAAAAGAGACACGTATTTTTTCTTTTGAAAAAAAAAAGTTTTCTTCGAGGTCGCGCTGGTCGGTTTTTTATAGAAACGCTGATGTTCTCAATTTTTTTATTTTCTTGACATGTTAAAATGCAGCTAAAAATGTGGTTTTTACATATAATTACTCTGGAATTATTGGGGAACTTTCTCTTAATTACACACCTGTCTTGGACAATTAGAATGGGTCTAGTTCCAAAAATATGCTCTCGAAAAGACACTAGTAAAATTAAAACCTTGATACTGAACGATTTACGCATTGTCATGGGTTGGAACTTGTTACCAGGGGGTTCCTGGGGTTGCTAATTAGGAATCTGAAGTCAGATTTTCAAAATTAAAAATGGCGGATCCAAAATGGCGATCCATTTTTTTTTTAAATGATTGGATTTGTTCGAAAACCGGCACTCAAGAGTTTTTGGGGTCGCCGATTACGAATCTGAAGTCAACTTTTTTAAATTCAAAATGGTTGAACCAATATGGCTATCAAATTAAAAAAAAAATACTAAAATTAAAACGTTGATACTGAACGGATTACATTGTCATGGGTTGGAACTTGTTACCAGGGGGTTTCTGGGGTTGCTGATTACGAATCTGATGTCAGATTTTCAAAATTCAAAATGGCGGTTAAGAGTTTCAAACAAATCCAATAATTTTTTTTTTTAAGTTGGTCGCCATTTTGGATCCACCATTTTGAATTTTGAAAATCTGACATCAGATTCGTAATCAGCAACCCCAGAAACCCACTGGAAACGTGTTTTAACCCTTGACAATGATTAAAACGTTCAGTATCAACGTTTTAATTTTAGTACTTTTTTTTAATTTGATCGCCTTATTGGATCCCCAATTTTGAATTTAAAAAAATTGACTTCAGATTCGTATTCGGCGACCCCAAAAACACTCGAGTGCCGGGTTTCGAACAAATCCAATCATTTAAAAAAAATTTAACGCCATTTTGGATCCGCCATTTTGAATTTCGAAAAACTGACTCCAAATTCCTAATTAGCAACCCCAGAAACCCCCTGGTAACAAGTTCCAACCCATTACAATGCGTAAATCGTTCAGTATCAACGTTTTAATTTTACTAGTCTCTTTTCTAGAGTATATTTTTGTGCACTAGGCCCATTCTAACTGCCAAGATAGGTTTGTAATTAAGGGAATGTTCCCAAATAATACCAGAGTAATTATATGTAAAAAACACATTTTTAGTTGCATTTTAACATGTCAAGAAAATTAAAAAATTGAGAACATCAGCATTTTTATAAAAAAACCTACCAGCGCGGCCTCTAAGAAAACTTTTTTTTCAAAATAAAAAACAAGTTTCTCTTTTTTTATCACAAATAAAAATAATTTGAGGTAGCGTTTATGAATTTCCAAAAAAAAAATTTTTGAACCACTCTAATATATACGTACGTATAAAATTCAATGCAAAATATAACCATATTTTTAGTTAAGCTACACTTAACAGCACATTCACAATATATTGAAAGTTAAAGTTTGTGTTTTAAAACTTTATACAAAACAAAGTTAAATTTAACGATTTTTCATCAAAATTTTTGATTTTTAATCNATACAAAGTTAATTTCATACAAGTGTTGAATACAATGCTGTAGACTAAATACAAGATGATGACAGCTCGGCCTCTCCTGACATAAACTCGTCCCGAGTTAACCTGCTCCTTCAACATCCTCAACATTTCCGTCGTCATCTATCTCCAGAAACAGAGCACACCATGGTCGTTGTGATCTCTGCATGTCTTCAAAGTCCTCAATTACATAACGATTGAATCTTAATACTTTCTTTACGACAAATGGTCCTTTGAATTTTGGTTGTAACTTCCTAGACTCCCCTGTTTTTACGGTTTCGCTTCTATGAGGACTAAACACCCCTCCTGAAATGGCAACGGTTTACTATAACGTGCATCGAACCGTGCTTTCCATTTCACTCGTGCAGCCTTAATATTCCGAATGGCATCATTTCGCCGACCGTTCATGTACAGTTATTCTTCGTCACTTTGTAACGCTGCTAGGATTTTATTTCCACTCAAATCGCGAAGTGGAAAGTCGTAAATGAGATCAATAGGTGCATATTTCGTTGTTGCATTCAGTTTAGTATTCACTGTAACATGCGGATTTGCGTATCCCAATCTTTGGCATCATTTGACGATGTTCTTAAGTATGCCAGTACTGCCTGGTTCACCCGCTCTGCTAAACCATTTGAACGAGGTGTTCGCACTGCCACTTTAATGTGCTGAATGCTATTCGACCCACAAAAGCTACCGAAGGCCGCAGACGTAAAAGCAGTGCCACGATCTGTCACAATTCGTTGTGGTAAACCGAAGTAAAGAGTCAAGTGATTCAATGCATCTATTACCGGTTTGACTTTCGTTGAACGAGTTGGAACTACAACAGAATATCTCGTAAGTGCATCCACTATAATGAGAACGTACTCATAATCGCGACGACTCTTAACAAATGGCCCGAGATGATCTAAATGAAGTATTTGAAATNAGAACGTACTCATAACCGCGACGACTCTTAACAAATGGCCCGAGATGATCTAAATGAAGTATTTGAAATGGCAAAGTTGGTATATCCATTCCGTAAAGTTCACACTCCTTCCGCCCCGGTTCTCGACAGTAACAGCATTCAATACAAGATTTGATAAAACTCTTTACAGAATTCCTTAAACGTGGGAACCAAAAATTTTGCAAAACTCTTTTAAAGGTTCCATCTACTCCAGGATGACCGACAGTAATCGGAACTGATATCTCTTCGTTTTCCATCCGCAATTTGCAGAATTTCAATTATTGCTTTTAGTTTGATATCTTGTTTCTGCATGGTTTGCACCCAGTCATCAACTGACAACATTAGAACCTTTGCACTGACATCTTCGACCTGTGCCAAACCTTTAATCGGCGCACGACTCATTGCGTCAACATGACCCATCGATGACCCCGCACGATGTATTATTTCATATTCATATTCCAATAGTTTGAGAAGCCAATGTGCTACCCTTGGAGCCATCGGTTTTGTCATTTTTGCAGTCGTAATTGCTTCGCAATCAGTTACTATTGTAAAATGCTTTCCCAATAAAAACATTCTGAATCGTTCACATGCTTCTACAACAGCTAGCACCTCCAGTTCATATGCATGGTAGTTATTCTCCTGTGGAGTGCACGCTAGGCTGTAATAGGAAATCGGCTTTAAAACATCAGCTTCCCTTTATAAAAGTATAGCAGCAACACCAGCGCTAGATGCATCAGTATGAAGTACATGATCCTTTGACACATCGTAAATTGTCAACACTGGAGCTTTAGTAATTAGTTTTATTAACTGACGGAATGCCTGCTCACATTTTGTACTCCAATTAAAATCGGCGTTCTTCTTCGTAAGCTCTGTGAGAGGTTTGGCAATCAATGCATATCCGGGAACGAACTTGCGGAAAAAACCAGACAAACCTAGGAAACGTCTAACCTCTAACGGATTATTTGGTGTCGGATACTGTTCTATGGCCGACGTCTTTGAAATACCTGGACGTATGCCATGTTCATTAACAAGATGCCCTAAGAATACTACCTCGCGCTTCATGAACGTACACTTCGATATTCTTAACGTCAACCCTTCTTGCTGAACTACTTTTAAAAATTCTTCCAAATAAAATAAATTTTCTTCTTCAGTATCTGTTGCAATAACCACTTCATCTACATAGCTAACTACAACATGCTTCAAAGGTGCAACCAAATTCGACATCATCCTTTGGAAGGCACACGGTGCGTTTCGCAAACCAAATGGCATTCTATTGAATTCATAATGCCCATTATGTGTGACAAATGCCGTAAAATGTTTTGCGTTTTCTTCGAGTTCAATTTGGTAATAACCAGACATTAGGTCTAATGTAGTGAAAAACTTTTTACCAGACAACGTTGCTAAAACACCATCTACTGTCGGCATCAACCACGGCTGTTTTTCAGTCACCGCATTAAGCTCACGAAAATCAACACACAGTCTGTCTTCTCCATTCTGTTTAGGTACCAAAACGACAGGAGATGCATACAAAGAATTGGATCTACGAATGATACCCAACTGCAATAATTCTTGGACTATTTCTTCAACAACGCGCTGTTTCGGTATAGGAATATTATATGGCTTCTTTGATATGGGTTTTTGAGACATTAACTTGATGTCCATTTTAAATTGCTTTGACATCCCTAATTCGGGCAACTTTTCCCCAAAACAATTTGCATATTCATTTACTAAGTTAATAAGCCTCTCCGTATAAGCAGTTTCAAGTTCACTATCAGTATTTATTGCATATCCACTAATCGACATAACTTTGCAGGTGCTTCCTTCAATAACAACTTTTCCCTTTGAGAGTACATCGATTCCAATAAGTGCTTCATGAGCCATTACGGAATCATCTATAACCAAAAATTCAACATACCTTATGATTTCATCAACTTTTATACGCATGGTTAATTTCTCGTGGCAGATAATTAACCCGCCTGCGAAACCAATTAATTTCTCGTTGCACGCATTGGCACACAAACCGCACTTTATTGCAATCTACCGCTTGACTTAAGATCTGCTACTACCTGAATCTATAAGCGCTTTGCATTCGACCTTCTTAACACCCATAATAATTATTTGTTTGCACAACTCTTTGCACGCACTTCCAACCACGATTTTGTTTACTGACGTTTCGAGATCCACAATGTCTATGTTTTCTATACTATCTACGCAATCATCATTTGTTAATTGATTTACACGATCACTATGCTTTGAATCGAAGCTTTTCTTCGGCTTGGCACAACTCTTCGCAATGTGTCCCCTTTCTTTGCAATTGTAGCAAATAGGCCCACCTAAATTTTTATTTGTATCAACTGAATCCTCAGATACCTGCTTGTAGGAATTTTTGTGAATAACATCACTGAACTTTACATTGTTCATGGGTATATTTGATAATGATTGTAAAAGATCGGCACATTTGGAGAACTTCATTGCACTCAATGTTTTACGCAAATTATCATCACTTAACCCGTTTAAAATATATCGTATTATTGAATTGTCATCGATGTTATCTCGGCGACCTATGGCTAACATCTTATAATAAAACTCTACCAACTTCTCACCTTTGCCTATTTTTGTGTTCATCATACGAATATGGGCATCTGCTGAATTCCTAACGTTTGGGAAATCCGTCAGAAATGCTGCCACAAATTCATTCCATTCCCGAAATGCCGGCTGAGCGTCAGCCCACCGCTTAGCAACCCCTCTCAGCCTACTGAGAATAGCAAAAATTACAAACGTATCGTGCCATTGGTACATTGCTCTCAACTGTTCAACTCTCTCGACGAATTGCATTGATGAGTATGTGTTATCAATTGGATCGAACTCGGGCAAAATTATAGCTATTTCGCTTGGCGTATGTGTGAAACTCCCTCTCGGTATATGTGTACCCCTCTCTTCGGCTCTAATATTCGTTGAATTAGGCAACAGCACAGATCGGTTACACTGCTCCATAGGTGATGTTTGGCTTGGTAAATATGGAAATGACGGAATCGATTGCTGTGAAGTCGGTGGAATATGTATGTATAACTGTGACGCAACTGGGAAAAACGAAGACGATGACGGTCGTGGCGTAACCAATGCTGCTTGCTGAAAACTTGCCAAAGACGCTGACGTAAATGAGGGCAGTGATGAAATGTACGACGTACCAACGGAAGCATTTCTGTCTGATGTCCCAGACTCTGGAACATTCGGACCCATTGGTCGTAATATCTGCAATTGTGCAGTTAGCATTTCTACAGCACCACACAGCGCGCTAACCTGCATCTCAAGCTGTGACCTGACTCGGGCATCGTCCCTCGACGGTTCCTCAGGATCCTGTTGACTAGCGTCACTAGCCGGTGGTATACCTGTACCCGCTGATAATGGCGTAAGCGAATTCATTATCGGCATTAACGATTCTGCATTTACGTCCTGAAGTCTGCTTATTAGTTCGGCTCTAGTTCCACTCGTTTTTAGTTTAAGTTTTTGTAAAACTTCTTTTAATTGCAAAACTGTTAATCGATTTAGGTCCATCCCACTTCTGAATATCTATCGCTAGAGATCTTTTCCGATTGACTTCCTTTTATTCAATAATGATTTTTCATTTTTAATTTCATTTAACAACCCATACTCTACATACTCAGACCCAATTGTGTAATATACAAAGTTAATTTCATACAAGTGTTGAATACAATGCTGTAGACTAAATACAAGATGATGACAACATCCTTAAATAAAAAATTTACGAAAACTATTTCGTATGGAAACCATTGCGAATATTCAAAATTCTATATGTACTTCATCTAATAAGTCTATGTATTACATTTCAGTACATTTAATAAAGTTTGGGGTGACAAATAAGCATTCAATATATCACCCTTTTCTCATTTTTCACACGACTTAGTTTAGATCTTTAATTAGAAGTAACACGGAAATACCCGTTAAACGTAACAAATATAAATTATTTTTAGTAATAACGGTTTTAGAAAATGAAGGAATAACAATGATGAATGATGAATGAAGGTAAAAGGTGAAAGTAAATTAGTGCAAAACAAATAGCTATTTAAACATAAAATGAAGTATTTTTTATTTTAAAAATTTGTATGCGTGCTTATTTAAAGAAACTGCTCTACACTATACTTCTTAGAACCAGCTCAAAACTAACCACATTTGTTCTAGCCCGGAGGTGACCCTTTTTAAACTATCTAGAAACTGTTGTTATATGAACTGTCTCAGAACCATCTAATCCAGAGTCAGCTCAGAACAAGTTCAGAAGTTCTGCAGAGGGCGACAATTGTCACTTCGTAGGACATCGCCATGTTAAAAAAGACAGTTGAAGGCATTGATTTGGGATAGATAAACAACCAGTACCGTCCCTTTTTAGGCTAGCTCAGCGCAAGTTCTGAACCAGTTTGATTTGCTGCAGGGTAACTACAGCAATAATTATGTTCGCTTAAGTACCCGCATGGAGGTAATTGAGCGGGTTCTTTTAAGTACTCAACCCGCCTAAGTACCACAAAAAACTGAAATTTTTCGTGAGGTACTTAAGCGGGTTTTACTGTAAACTTTCTTTTCCCACAGTCAAAAGAGGATACATAAACTGAAGGAAAGAAAAGGCTCTATACTATAACCTCATTTGCTCTCAGCGCAAGTTCTGAACCAGTTTGATTTGCTGCAGGGACACGACTCACGCCAACTCCAATACATTGAAAAAAATTGCTATTTCACCAACACCATCAAAGCCACATGACACAATTTTTTTTCCTTCAATTCACGTAGATTATTTTTCACATTGTTTTTTCTATAAGGGTTTATGTGTGGAAAACAGACCACAATATGGAAAATTCTTCAAATTTCACATTTATTCTTTATTCCCATTTTTGACGTTTGCCATTTTGTACGTGGAGCTAACCTAAAATTTTAATTTAAAAGATTTCCTGGTGCGAGCGGTTGCAGTAGATAAGAAGTTTTGTATTTTATATAAAAAATAAATAAAATAAAAAAAAACTTTTTAATATACCACGCTTTTATAAATAGACTAAAAATTCGAAAGTAATATTTCTCAGTCCCATAGAATTTGTTCTGATAACTTTTAATTTTAAAAATTTTAGCAAAAGTCATTATAAGCAATTTATGAGCTTGAAAACGAAAAACTTGGGGTACGTCCAGAATTGGATTTAATTGACAATAGTTAACTACATAACATAGACCTAAAATTTCTACAGCGCAAGTACAATATTTGAGATCGATTTTAAGCGATCGTTATTCATATACCCACATACATACATATATTACTTTTCATATCAATTCAAGTCTATTAAATGCGCTTTGCATTTTCAATCATAAATTGTTTATAATATTTTTTGCTAAAATTTTTAAAATGCAAAAGTTATCAAAACAAACTCTATGGGACTAAGAAATAACATTTTCTACTTTTTAGTCCATTTATAAAAGCGTGGTATATTAGAAAGTTGTTTTTATTTTATTTA